TAACTCGAGTCGGCCCTGGCCGTCTGAGACAGTTTCAAGCACTGAATTACCCCTGCTGGTTCCATGATGTGTATGACAAGGTATCAATTACTTTGAGCAACTGCTTCTCACTATGGAGGTGGATAGATGAGAGAAAGGGAAACAACTGTGTCCCTGACATTACCAGGACTCATTCCTTCCTTCTGGAACTATCTGCCATATCTGTAGTTCAACATATGTATCTTGGATTAGCCTCCTTCTCCATTTCTGGACTTACCAATGGCTGCCCTATTTACTGGAATATTGTCCTCATATTGAGGGACTGCTGCTGCCAACAGTATGATTATTTTCCACTGTACATAATTAAATTCTGGGATAATTTATACCAATGGGGGTAGGGTTTAATGTCATAATAGAGGGGTTATGGATAGGTATTTCACTTCAATGAACCTGAATTCTAATATTTTTTATGTAAAAATATTATGTGAGAGTTTTGGTAGGTTTTGTTGTTTCAAGGCACATCAGAAAAGTATCCCACTTGATTTATCTTTTTTTCCTCATTCAGGCTTTCCCCTGCTTTTATAGATGAAGAAACTGAGAAAGGGAAGAGTTTAGATAAGCTTTTCTAATTTGGACATATGGCACATAAAGCTGTATTTAGGAAGTAAATTGACCCAACTTCAAATAATCAGAACATTTCTTTTTACTTTGACAGGAGCTGGGTGAATCCTTAATTTTTAATCATGCTGAGTGCAGCTACATAGATTCATAGATTGTAGATTGTAGAGTCGGAAGGGACCTCAATGGATCATCTTGTCCAACCCCCTGCCCCTGGCAGGAAAGAGGACCGAGGTCAGATGACCCCAGCCAGGTGACTATCTAGCCTCCTCTTGAAGACCTCCAAGCTAGGCGATAGCACCACCTCTCTTGGAAGCCCATTCCAGATCCTGGCCACCCTTACTGTGAAAAATTTCTTCTTAATATCTAACCTAAATCCACTCTCAACTAGTTTACACCCATTATTCCTAGTCACTCCCTGGGGCACCTTAGTAAACAGCTCTTCCCCTATTCCCCGTTGACCTCCCCTAATAAATTTATAGGCGGCCACAAGATCTCCCCTCAGCCGTCTCTTGTGAAGGCTGAAGAGATTCAGCTCTCTCAACCTCCCCCCCTGTAGGGTCTGTCATGAAGGCCACTAATCATGCGAGTGGCCCTCCTCTTTTACATGTGCTCTTTTACATGTGCTCTGGGGGAGGCAGGGGGGAGCAGCACTTTAATTAGAGCAGCTTGCTCTCATTAAAGCACTGCTGTGTCTCGTATATCAGTGTCCCCGCACTAAAAAATGGTGTTGGGGGCACTTGAATTAAAACTTGTTAGATGAGTTTTAGTTCAAGCACTGCTCCCACCATTTTTAATCATGGGGAAGCATGGGGTAATTGCCATGCTCCAGCAAACTTGATTGATGGAGTCTGCTTCAATGCACTGGAATGCCAATGTGTCGGAGGATCCTCCATGCTCGTATGTAGGCACCCTCCATTGTGAGGTACTAGGAAAATGTGCATTAGATTATATTTATGTGAATTAACTAAAGAGCATGTGGTGCCTGTAGTGTGCTGGGAGGCTGTTCTGATGCACTGTAATTACAGTGCATCAGAGAAGACTTGACTAATTGAGTCTGCTGGAACATGGTTACCGTGCTCCAGCAGCCTCCCGTGTCTCGTGTATCAGTGCCGCCGCACTTCAAAAAGGCAGCGGGGGCACTGTAACTAAAGCTCATCAAATGAGCTTTAGTTCAAGTGTTCCTGCTGTTTCCTAGATTACAGGTAACCTTCTGGGTAGGCTACTGATAAAAGAAGCAGAAACAGGTCTACAGCCCAACCTTTTATTTGCTTGCACCTTAAAACATAAGAACAAACATTTATGCTAAAGTCTGTCTGGCTACCCACAACAGCACAACATAGATTTTCACCTATCCTGACTGGGGAGAAGCTGGACAGCCCTGGACTAGACTATTAAGATGAAACGCTGGATTTGAAAGTTTACCTTAAGCTCTTACTTTAATAAGACTATAGAGTGGGCAGGAGGTAAGGGGAGAAGGAAGAAAAGATGAAGATGGGGGAGTGAAGAACTCTTCAGAGAATGAGGAAAGCGTGGGAGGAAAAATAAACAGTTACACTCCTGTGTACCAGCTTTGCGTTAAGGGAGAATTCTGTCCTTAGAGCTTAGCACAGGTTTGCTTTCAGCTAGAAAAGTATTCAATGCATGAATCATGCTTTGTGGCCAGTAGAGGAAATATGATTTTATATTAAGAGGAAGAACGTTTTTCAAACGTAAAAAAAAATGTATATGTTGCCATATTATTCAAGCATCACATGTACTTGTTCCTTGAAGATTGGGAGATGTAGGGATGGACAGTTTGGAGCTAGCGATTCACAAAATTCTGTGCGCTTGTGATCCTCTGCATCTGACTCTTCATGGGGAACTGGCCCCCGAGGGCACACATGGGAAGAAAATAAGTTCTCTCTTAAGAAGGAGCCAGCACCTAAATAAGGAGCCTTCTGCTCTGCTCATGTAGCCAGCCCTTTTTACCCTTTTTTCTGGTTTTTCTATTCTGCCCCTCATTTTGTGACCTGATCCACAGAACCATCACCATCTTTATATTCAAATCCTTCCTTGAGACCTTCTTTTAAAAGAGGCAAATTAAATATGTTAACATTCTCCAACAAACATTGCTGAATAACTGCATTTTCTTGTTAGTATTTGCTTGCAGTTTAGAAGGTACCACATTGTTGGGTGCTGTACTAGGAGGCTGTTCTGTCCTAAACAAGGAGTTGTCATCTCAAAACTATTGCTGTAATCTTGTCTTTCATTTTGAATCCTTCCCTGGATTATCCATAGTTTCTGCTAGGCTGACACCTGTTATATTAGATCAATAGTGTAACTGGGGTGGGTGAGCAAGGCACCAGCCCTAGACACTAATTCAGATGGGGCGCCAGAATGGCAGGCAGCCACGGAGGTGCTCATACTGCTGTAGGTGTGGCTGCCTTTTGGGAGTGTATCAAGGCAGCAGCTACCTGCACCAAAGCTGCAGCAGCCCCCAAGTGAGGAGGTTAGCACACAACATCTCCCTTCCCCTCCCTGACCCACGGTGCCAACATTTTGGGTTATGCCTCTGTGCTAGAGTGCCAGCTGGTTGCCCAAGGAAGGGGCTGCCTTTTGTCTGCTGTCAGGCACCCAGCACATTTAGGTTACTTTGGAAGAAATAATAATAGTTAATAGCTAGATTATATTTATACTAGTTTTAAAAGAGTTCAGCTTTTTTTTCAAATAGCCCTGAATTTAAAAAAGTGTCCTGATATATTTTCCGAACAGCAGGTTAATAATTCAGAGTGATTCAATAATTGTTCCTGTGACACCAGCATTGGATTTCCCACCTCTAAGTGCTAGCATATTTGCTCTTTGCGGGAGGTAAAACCATGATTCTCACTGATAGGAATTGGAAAGGAAAACTAAAAAGAAAAAGGAAAGATTATAAAAAGCTTCCACGATTTATTTGTAATACTGCTGTGGCATTTATGAGTCTGAGCAAAAGCCTACTTTGTGATCTTTTTCCCAGGTGACTTTCCAGAGACCCTGGTTTCCCTTCCTGGCTCTATCCTTTCTCCCTCTCTTCTCTTTTGGCGACTCCTGAAGTCTTGGCATCCTCTCTTATTACCCCTCCTAACTTCCCATAAGTACAGTACTCCAAGGTATTTGAGGACTAGGAAGGATACTTCTATTCTGGAGATTTATGTGGTTCTCTGGCTGAACTGTGGTCAAGCAGCAGCTGAGACATTAAAGGGGTAAAGCGGGAGAGTTTGCTTTCTGTGAGTTGTTTTGAGCCTGTACTAAATGCCATTAGGCAGCAAAGAAAAGAAAATTGGTGAGGTGGCTGAATCACACACATGCCTCTGACCAATGCTGGGATGCAGGCACAGGGAGAGAAAGTGATATTTGGCTGTTAAATTATTTGCTTCAATGAATCAAGCTTGTGTGTTTTTAAGAAACTGCTTGATTGTTGTACTTTACGGCTAGTTTTGTATGAATCCATGAGACTTTTGTACTGTTGATTATGGCAACATAGAAGTTTAAGCTGCCTTTATCTGTAAAACAGGCCATATCATGTACCTTGTGTTGCGACTTCCACTGTGTGCAGAGTGAGCGAGGATTTTGTACTGATATAGCATGTAAACAACTACACAGGGAGCAGGGAGTGGAGAATCAAACCCATAGAACTGAGACTGCAGCTGCCAAACTCCAGAAGCTTTTGCCTTAGTGGGTCTCTGGTTTTGGAAACATGCTATACCATTTAATATAGTGGTTTTTTATATAGTATGTGCCAAGAGAAGGCAAAAAACAGAGCTGCTGCTCTCAGAATCAATATGTTGTTCCAATTCTTGGTGTGATCGCAGAGGCAGAGGATTAGAAAAAATCCTAACTTATTTTAGTGTTTGATCCTCCAGGTGTTTGAGCTCCCTCCGGTCTCTCAACGAATTGCTTAACAGGAACTGTTCAGCACCTGAAACAGCTCAGCTTTGGGGCAAAGAGTGATGGTGCAAGCTGTTTAGAAGCTGTTCTGCAGTGTTCTCTGTGTGTTGTTCTGTATTACAGTCATTTGTGAACCACTAACCTGATCCTGTTCATAAGAGATGTGCAGAATATATGAGAAATGTATTGTTTCCTATCTATTCTAACGTAGAGCGTGAGCTGGATGTGGTATATTCAAATGAGTTTAGCAGACAAAATCTAAATTTTAAGACTATGCCTGATTCACTGAGATCCTGCACTTGCTGCTTTTCTTGCCTGCACCAGTTTTGCATTAATGCAGATCCATTCATTTAACTGGCATTACTCTGGATTTGCACTGGTGTGAGAGAGATCAGGACCTGGCCCCAAGTTAATGCTGGGATTTTATTGTTGAAAAAAAAAATCTAACTGCAAACAGAAATTCCTGAGCTTCTTTTACTGCTTTCTCATCACAGCCTTTGTATGCAAGAAGCCATCCCCTTGACCTTTCAGTCCTGTGTCATCCCTAAAGACTGTGAAATGTCTGATTGGTCTGCATGGAGCACCTGCTCGAAGACTTGTCACTCAGGGGATCTCTCACCCGGATTCCGAAGCAGACGCAGGAGCATAAAGCACATTGCAGTGGGTGCGGGGAAGGAGTGTGCTGAGCTAGAAGAGAAGGAGGCCTGCAACATACAAGGAAAAAAGTTTCTGCAGCCTTGTCCCAGGTATAGTATATAGTTTGATCAACACTGGGAGCACTCAGCCGGGATGCCAACCTGCTTTATAGATTTACCGGGGTAAATGAAAGTCAACATTATTCTGTTTTCCCCTTGATTTTAGCCAGTAGTTTAAGATTGCTTTAATAAAATTATGCATAAATCTCTGGAACTGATTCTTGTGTTCCAAAAGGGAATCCTCATACTGCTGTGTCCCAGGCCCTATTTTAATTGCAGAAAGCAGAATATCTCCTCCTTGGGAGCTGTCACTTACTGTCAGGTAGCAGCCGGAATGAGGGGCAGAATCTTAGACTGTACAGGTGACACTGGTGAGTTCCTGTGTGTACACAGAGCCTTAGAAACTGCATGGAGATTGGGGCAGGTATCCATGGCTGTGGGCAGTTATTTGGGGTCCAAGGGTGGCTGACAGCAGTACCATTAGTAAAGACACATTAGAGATCATTTTTCTCTCCCCCCAAAAAAGAACTTCCTTGTGTGCACATGGGAGCAGTAGGAGGCAACAACCTGCACTGCCTAACTAAACTACTTGTAGGCTTCTCTTGCAGAGAAGCACCTTGTCCCTACTCTCCCTGTGATGGTTGTTGTAGCCCTGGGATCTATGAAGGGAGTGGGGTTTCATTTCCATTCCATTCTGCCTCTCTGACCGGGATGTGGCTTTGGATCTCTGCTCTGTTGTGATTCTCCACAAGTTTGGTCAGATTACTGTGGAGGGGCCTGGTCTGCTTTTGGAAGATGTTAAAATGCCCGATATTTTTCCATTTGACAAGGTGTAGGGCTGGGTAGCCTCCAGATATCTGAAATTCTTTACCTATGTAGACAAATCTCAGTGGAAGGACTGTAAGTTTAAAAGGGAGCTGATTTACATGGCCACAGTACAGCCTCTGTATTATTGCCAAGACCCCTAAAACAACTCTGCAAGCTGATATGCTCCTGGAAAAGAGAAACCTGTGCAAACATCATTAAAGTATGAATTTCTTCAAAATCAACTAGTCGCTGATCATCTCTATGCACCCTGCTAGCAGGAGGACAGGGGAGAATTTAAAAAAAAAATCTTTTCCTTGATTAGATCTTACAAAAAGCTCTTGTGTACTGATTTTTCCTCCATCCAAATGCATGTCAATTTCAAAGACAAAAGAACGAGAGGTTGCCTTGCTGATTTTATTCATTCGTACACTGTGTTGTTTCAGTTGACGCCTGATTGAAATACACCAACTGCTGGTTAATGAGGAAACGAATAGACATGTGCCTGGAGCTTAGGTTCCTATCCCTATTTTTTTCCCCTTGTATTGAATTAGTGCTTGAGTTGGCCATTTATGCCACTGCTCTGTATAAGGCAAGGTATAGAGCAAGGACACTCTAGGAAAAGCACAAGATTGTGCTCTGCCCATGCCAGTCCCTAATAAATCTCCCACAGTGCTACTTGCTTAGCTCCATCAATTAAGATGGAGAAGATTGTTTTGTTTGTTTTCTTACTTCATAGGTTCATAGTTGTTAGGGGCTGGAAAGGACCTTACAGATCATGAGGTCCAGCCCCCTTGCACTTGGACAGGAAAGACTTCTGGGCTCAGATGACCCCAGCAAGGTGGGCATCAAGACACTTTTTGAAGATCGCCAGGGTGGGTGACAGTACCACCTCTGGGGGGAGCCTGTTCCAAACCCTCGGCACTCAACTTGTAAAGAAGTTTTCTCTTTATGTGCAGTCTGAAGCGATCTTCAATCAGTTTGTGCTCATTGTTTCTTGTCCTCCCCTGGCAGGCTTTGGTGAACAGATGCTTCCCCAGGCCCTGATGTACACCCTTAATATACTTATAGGCTGCCAGCAAGTCCCTTCCAAGTCTTCACTTCTCCAGGCTGAACAGTCCCAAGTCTTTCAGCCTTTTCCCATATCACCTGATCTCTAGGTCTCTAATCATGTGTGTGGCCCTCCTTTGGACTCGCTGTTCATCATTAGGTATATTCCCTCACCACATTACAGGTTACAGTAGAGCAGGTGCTTAGGTTAGGGTAAACTCTTCCCCCATCCTGCCCCTTGTTTTCCTAGCTCCTGTGTTCCAGGGAACATAAGGACTGACATTGCTCGTAGCCCCTTGAGCAAGGAGCCCTTGTGCATTAGGGCAAGACCTGCTTGGGATCAAGCACAGGATACTTACAGTTAAGTTTCAGGATAGGCAGTGGGTCAAGATTCCTGCACACAATCTATGATGTATAGGTAGATGTCACAGGGAGGTGGTCATACCCAATATTCATTATATTAAGAAACTTGTGATAGGCTTTTGGTTTACACCTTGCTTTTGCTTCCTCCACTATCAAGCTCTGTACTGCATGTTAGAAAATCTAACCAACTGAGAAGGAAAACACAATGTACTGTGTATACAAGCACACATGTGATTCTTTAGGATCAGAATTAAATGGTGTAGATTCATAGATTCATAGATGTTAGGGTCGGAAGGGACCTCAATAGATCATTGAGTCCGACCCCCTGCATAAG